ATAGAAACTAATAATAACTTAACGAAAGAAGAAAAAAAAATAGAAACTAACAACACATATCCAATTCTATCTCATAAGCCCATTGTTTCTCAAAGTTTAGAAAAAACCCACCACTCTTCTTTTAAATACTCTTTCTCTCTCTTTCTTTCTCGATCCACCCTCTACTCTCAGAATCAAACATCAAAAATTTAAAGAATAACAAAAAAATGTTTACCTACCACAGAAGTTTGGTAAGGCACGCGGAGGCTAGAGCACCACGGTGGTTATGTTGGCTTGCAGATGGAGAGCAGAGCTGCTACGACGCGGTGGTTAGGAAGCTTCAGACGGTGATGTTCGGTACGGCAAGTTACGGTTCAGATCTTAAAGATGATAATGAAGTGTGCATCGGACTTCATGGTGGTACAAGGTAAGACCCATGGTTGTATGTTTACATCTGTTTTGTCAGCTAGAGAGAAAGACCCGTGGAGATAGATGGAGCTGTTGCTGAGTTGGTACAAAGACGGAAGAACGCGATGGATTGGCCAAAACCGCCGAAAGATGGCGCGGGGGTGCTGAACACGAATCCAGCACCATGGCCACTGTTACCACCATCTGCAGCATTAACATTAATATTAGCATTAGCATTCCAAGCCATCATTCTATGCAATCGGCTATTATCATGTTCTTCTTGATGCCGCTGCTGCTCAGACCACATGTTGTTTGATCCACCACCGTCGAAACCGAGTGAGGAGTTTCCGGCGAAAAGTACTTGGTAATTGTGGTGGTGGTTTTGAGTTTGATGGTGCAGCATAATAGGATCTTGAAAAGATTTGCAAGGAGAGGCGGAGATCTTGCTGTGAGTTGCTTTTTGTTATTATTATTTTTTTATTTGTTGTGATGGGTCACGGAAATGAAAGTAACAAAGGGTTATTGAAGGTTGGAATATTGAAGGAAGTGTGGAAAGGGGTAGTCAAACAGAGGTGAGGGGTTTGAACGGACTAAGTTCATGTATTGAAGGTGTGTTGTGTTTATATGATTATGTGGTGCTGTTGGTGTAGATTGAAGGGTAGTTACTGTGAAGAATTGAAGAGAGGAGATGGGCTATGCGTAGAGAATGAGGAGAGTGTATGCAAAGTGCTAGAATGGTATAGAGAGGTAGATTGTGATAGAGATATTGATATTTGGTACCTTTGTTTTAGAACCACAAACTCAAATTTTAACAAAGGGTTGTAATGAAGTTATGAATCAGAGGGCGAGAAAAAGAGAGAGAGGAAAGAGGCTCGAAATCAGAGGGAGTTTTATGCTGGCTTTGTCGTTAGGTGTGTTGTGTGTTGTAGAAAGGTTAATGAGATAAAGATAAAGGATGTTGTGTTGAGTGAAGAGAGGAGGGAAAGTGTGAGTGTTGGATGGATGCAGGCGGGAGTTTTTTGATTGTGGGGGGAAAGATTGTGTGGATTGAAAAAATAGGAGGGATGAAAAACATATACTGTGAATTTTTTTGGTTTTTGTTTTTATGTATCAATCCTCAACTTCATCCAACAACCAATGAAAATCAAGCATAATATATTTAATTTTTTTTTTGTGACTAAAAAGCCCTTTAATGACAAAAATAAAAATAAAACTTGAAAGTATAAAAAAACTCAATTTAAAATGATTTTTTTGAATATTTTATGAATAAAAAATAAAGACACAAAATGACCGAAAACGATAAAAATCGGACGAAAATTTATCCGAAAAATAAAATGAACACATTAAAATAATCTACATGTCACAAAGATTAAAGAAAAAATATTCAAGAAGTCAAAAACCAAAAATAAAATAATAATAAAAATATCAGACTAAACAGACGTTTAAGGTTAACACGAGACTTCGAACTGTACCGAAAAATAAAGCGAGCATACCGTCATAATCTACGCGAAGCGCAGATTAATAAAATGATCGGTAAAAGGTGAAAACTTGAAATATTTTCTCGCTAATTTCCCGCATAGTGTCGAATCGCTTTTAACAGTAGGTCTATAAAACTAAAATATTTTTATTATTGACATATAAACAACTTGGAGCAATGCAACAAATGAGTAAATAGATAAAAATGCATGAAGCAAAATGCCGGGTATTTTACAACTGAAAGACGATGCAAACTTTGATTTAAATTGACTTTTCTGATCAACTTAAATACGACTAATGATGCAAAATATGATGAATGAAGATATTTACTAATGATTGTGACCAAATGACAAAATATGGTATGAATGTGCGACTGAAAAAATTAGGGGCGAAATTTGGTGTGCAACAGTTGTGCCTTGATGAATCAGTCTTCAAGAATCCATAATCAACCGTACTTCTGGCTTGAGAGATTCTGAACCCTAATCGAGGCATGACGCCTGATGCTCTTGATTCAGATCTGTTTCCTGCAAATGAAATCAAAGAAACAAAAAACACACACTTCGTGCTTGATTAGAAGTTAGTGATACATAGGCTAAGAATGTTCAAAATATTTGACAATTTATGCATAGTCAAAGCACGAAGGTGAGACGTTAAAACCGACCGTATTTCGTGACCTTGACTTATCTTGAAAAAATGCAAAAAAATAAAAATGGGATCTTAAGTCAAAAATTGGGGTACAACACTTTCTATCAAACACCTTATGATCATGGATCCACTTGAGCACGAAAATTCCATCAAATTATGAGAAAATAACACCATTGGAATCACAAAAGAATGCTCAATGAATCAATCCCAAAGATCACCAAGAGATCACATTGTGAAAGATGAATTATCCAACTTACGAAAGGTAGATCTAGAGAATTATCAAAATAACTTCAAGAATTTGCTTCAATTCAACCACAAGAATCAATTGACCAAGCTTGGATGTAGAGAATTGATGGATAAAAAGTGTTTGGATGAAGGTTTAGCTCAAAGATTAGTAAGCTTCAATGCAAAGCTTACTAACTTTTTGAAAATGGAGCTTTGAGTGAATTTGGTAGATGGAGAGAATTGAGAGATTTTTTAGCAAGGTGGATTTGGCTATCAAAAGCTTTAAATTTGAATGAGATGAGAGCTCTATTTATAGAGTTTAGGATTGGGATTAGTGGTAATTTGGTAATTGATTCTTGGAGCCAAAATTTGAATTAATGATAATTCTTTCAAATATTAGAGCCAAAATTTGAATTAATGATAATTCTTCTTAAAAATGAAAAATTGACACTAAAATTTGAATTGATGATACATCTTTCAAAAATGAAGAAAAATAGGAGCCAAAATTTGACAATTTTAAAATGCTGATTTTTTTCAAATTTCACGTTGTGCAATCGATTGCACTACAATGCAAATCGATTTGCATAGTGTATCTTTCCAAAAATTGCGCAAAATTCACTTTGTGCAATCGATTGCACTCTAGGAGCAATCGATTGTACAGTGAAAAAAATGATTTTTTTTAAATTCTTTTTCTTTGCAAATAGAGATTTTAGGGAAATAATACCGGAAAACCTTATTTTCCATATGCTTCAACTCGATACCTACAAAACACAAATATGAAAAGGCAAAGACAAATATTTTTTTGTATTTTGATTAGAAGTTAGTCAACAACACAAGAGAAAACTTAAAGATAGGATGCAAATGTGATGAATGAAGCTATTTATTAATGATTATGACAAAATGACAAAATATGGTATGAAAGTACAACTAAAAAAGTTAGGGGCAAAATTTAGGGTACAACAGCTGGTATCTTTCAAAATCCCGCTTCGGCTGGTATCTTTCAAAATCCCGCTTTGGCTGGTATCCTTTGTTAAAATCCCGCTTCAGCTGGTATCATTCAAAATCCCGCTTCGGCTGGTATCTTTCAAAATCCCGCTTCAGATGGTATCTTTCAAAATCCCGCTTCGGACGGTATCCTTTAAAATCCCGCTTCGGCTGGTATCCTTTGTTAAAATCCCGCTTCGGCTGGTATCCTTTGTTAAAATCCCACTTCGGCTGGTATCCTTTGTTAAAATCCTGCTTCGGCTGGTATCCTTTGTTAAAATCCCGCTTCGGCTGGTATCCTTTGTTAAAATCCCGCTTCGGCTGGTATCCTTTGTAAAGATTCTCCTTCGGCTATTTCTTTCCCCTAAAATCCATCTTCGGCTGGTATCATTTGTTAAAGATTCCCCTTCGGCAGGTTTCTTCACCCTTAAAATCCATCTTCGGCTGGTATCATTTGTTAAAGATTCCTCTCCGGCTGGTTTCTTTACCCTTAAGTCCACCTTCGGCTGGTATTATTTGTCAGGAGTCCCACTCGTTTGATCTCTTTTCTCAGTAAGTTCGCCTTCGATTGGTGTTCCTTCGTCAGAGACTTCTTCGGTCGGTCTCTTTCTTGTGTATGTATAACCTTGACCTGACATCCAAGAGATTTTCCCAGCTAATCACTGCAATCCAAAGAAAAAAAAATATAATAATACTTGACTGGCTTCGGAGCGCAAATTTTCAGCTTCTTTTAAGTATTTAATCTTCTTCCACCATTGAAGGTTCGAAAGGCTGGCGCCAATCTCACCTTTGGGTTGAAGGCGATTAAATAGGGGTAGCTGTTGCACCCCAAAATTTGCCCTCCTAATTTCTTTTATTTTGGCTTAGACTTTTGCATTCATCTGCATCTATTTCATTAGGTCACTAACATGGCATACATTTCATTTAATATAGCTCTGAGGTTCAAAGTTCAGTGGTTGTACGATACTAGGGTTTCACAGTTGTTAAGGCGCTCGTATCCAATAAATGATGATTTCTTATTCAGGCAGTGAGCTGTGGAATTAGGGTTTTGGTTCATTCTCATTTTTGGACTTCTTCTCCCTCAAGCAACAAGGCTATTATCTTCTGATAAACAACATGTTACAGGTTTTTCTTGTCAAGAACTCAAGGGCGTGACTTAGCATACATGGTCTTTGAATCAATACGTCTCCTCATATAAGTGTGCCTATCATTTTATCAGGCTTAATGACTTTGACACGGCATTCATCCACTCTTCAATTAACCAATTCAGGTTTTGTTGAATCATGGTTCAGAGAATCATTGGTTGTGAAGCTCGGGTTTTCTTTTGGTTCGAGGTGTTTATCAAACAAGACTGATTCTTCTGGTACATTGAATTGTGAATTTAGGGTTTTTATTGATGTTTATTGTAGATCTCTTCCTTATCAAGCTACAAGGATATCTTCCTCAAGGTAAGAGACAAAGCCATTTTCATCACAACGCATCTCAAGAAATTGTAGTTCTTATGCGTGGAAATTAAGCTTGTTAACTCATCAACTGGGATTCATTGGATTTACATGTTAAGGCTATCTGGATAGTTATGCCTCCCATGTCTCAAGTTCCATATTCATCTTCAAAGGATTCCTCGAGGGATTATTGTTCTCTCGAGTTGTTATTACTTGTAATGCAAGTTAAAGTTTCATGGGGAATTGAGGATCTGATTAGGGAAGTATCCATTCAAGTTTCTTAAGGTGCGAGTGTCATAAGTATTTTCTGCCATGCAAGGTATGAGTAAATTCAGAGGTTATAAGGCATGATTTCAAGATCAATTAAGGTTCTCAAGCACGTGTTTGTCAAGAGGTGATTCATGCTAGTATTGGAAGAAGGATCATGTGGATTTCATCACAAGTTAACTTGGACTTATGATTATAATTAAGTTTAAGGTGCATTAGTCAAGCGTGTAAATTAGAAGATCCATTCATGGTTAATCTTTTGAAATTCAAGCTACCAAGGCGAAATAATACAACTTTTCGAACAATTAGTCAAGGCTTGAAATCACTTTCAATTTCAAGATTCAAGTTCCAATCGTCTAGTCAAATTTCCGGCAAAGTTCTTCATCCAATTACAGTTCAAATTTTCATTAACCATTTCAAAACCTCTTCATTCCATATTCAATCAAAATTCCAATGAGTTTGCTAATTTACAAATTTATCTAGTCCTCTCAGTTTCAAAATCTCATACACTTCTTTTGTTCAAAATACATTCAAAACCTGTACAAATTCCATACTTGTCCATGACTTAGTTCAAATTACAAGATATGTTCAAGTTCATTCGAAGTTACAAAAAAAAAGACTTAAATCTAATGAAGTCTATCCTAATTTTAATAATGCCCCATGTTCCAATCGACATCAAACCGTCCGTCTGCTTGCTGAATTAAGCACCTCACCAGGATCGCATAACTTACAAAATTTGTTAGCATCTGTCATGAGAGTCCATCGTAGAGGCAATTTCAAACAGCCACGAGCTATCACGTATGCCTTAAAGGAAACATGTCATCACCACTTTAATAGCTTAGCTTACCACCTACAAAACCTGTGCAAGAAAAAACAGTTCAGCATCCAAAAACTTAAACAAAAAGAAACAGTTATTATCAATTCTCAACAAACTGCCAACAGGATTTCTAACTTCCTATAACCGTAACCAACTGTCCAAAAGGCTTACTAACTAACTTCTCAACAAAAACTAACTCACAGCATAACAGAACTGCCAACTGTCATAACAGAAAACAAAACTGATTCCTAACCGATCTCTAACAGTCCTAACCAACTGTCTATCCAGGGCCTGCAATCTGTAACAAACTTTTGGATATCTATAACAGAAAATGATAATAGATTCAAAGAAAAAAAAATCCATAACAAAATACAACAGAATTCATCAAAAGGGGGAAGGGATGGACATGATACATTCATTCAAAAAACTGTAGAAGAATCACCACCAAAAATACCTGGAAATGCTCACTTCTTTTTTTTCAATCTTCATCTGGATCCTTCTACGAATTCACTTCTCTCACCTTCATCTTCATCTTCATTTTCCAATTCTTCGCTGAATAATCACCAATGTCGCCTCTCTTATGATCTCACCTTCATCTTCATCAAGTGGTAAAAGCTGGTTTTGAATTTCCATCTGGTTCTTCTCCACAGATCACCATCATCTGCTTCATCAGTATCACAATTGTCTCTGCAACACTCGCATCATCATCTTCTCCGAGAGAGCTATTGGTAACAGGGCAACATCCTTCTTCATTATCAACGAATCAGGAAGATTCATTACCGCAATCATCTCCATCATTGCGTCTTCATTCCACTGCAAACTTCAACAAATCACAGATTATCAATCTTCAACGCAACGACGAACAAAAACATCACGAAAACGCGGACACGCATAGAAAATCCAGAAATAGAAGAAAAGAAACAGCAGAAGAACGTAGAAAAAGTGCGAATCAAAGAGCATGCTTGAGTTCGTCTTCTAGATTTCTTGTAGTTATCGCCATGAAATAGGCACCAGACTATCTCCGATAGGTAACACTCTTCAACCTCCTTCAATGAGCATTTGATCTGTGTGGTTGTTCGTTTGGTTGGTTCGAACCACAAAAACCGCGATTGAGATGAGGACAGACGGAGAAGCGGCAAACCGATATTGAGACGGGAAGTGACATCCGCGGCGGAGCTCGGTTGCAACGAAGTGAATTTGATTCAGAGTGTGACAGACGGAATCTGAGGCAGAAGACCGTGTTCGGACGAAGGTTGAATCGAAGGAAGACGAAGACAAGGAGGCGGCGACTGGTGTGGCTACAATGACATATTCGATCGGATGAGACAGAAGGAGTAGGAGCACTAAGAGGGACCTCGCGACAGAGAGACAGAGGAATTTGATCTAAGGAAAATCGGAAGGAGGTTTCGTTGTGTTGACCGGAATTCTGTGACGCTGTATTGAGAAAGGCCAGAATTTCTTTAACGATGAAAACTCAAAGGTTGCAATCTTAACCTAATCTCAAAACGACACCGTGTGGCCATTTTTTATTCTAATTCAATAACAAAAAATGTGTGAAAATATGAAGGTGGATCTCGCTTGGGCCTCATATTTGCTAAGCTCAACGAATACATTACTTCTTAGGCCCTCTGTTTTGTTTTTTGGAGATAGTGTTACAAACAAAGAATTGTTTCATGGGCTGGGCTTAGAATCTGAACTTGAATTTCTACTGCACCTGCTGATTATTGGCTTGCTCCCCCTGGATTTATTCTTTTAGTATTTTCTTTTAACTAATTTTGTTAATTGTCTAGACTTGTTTGAACTTTTTTTACATGATAAAATAGTAAAATCAAATATAAAAATTTGTTAGATTTTTTTATTTGATTTTAGAAATTAATTCATGGTTATCCGATTATTCGAAACTTGTGATGCACTTTGGCTTGTCGAGATTTGAGTCTTATGCAGGTTTATTATGCGATATGCGGATACGCTTGAGATTTCAATTGTGATTTATTTTCACATCGATGATGCTTAGACACTTATTCTGAGCATTTGATTTCTAACTCCATTCTTTGATTGGTGAAGCTTTTCGCGAAGATCGTCGGGTTTCTTTGTTTTGATAGGTTTTGCTACAGATTGATCTCCATTTGGTATCATCGCAACCTCATTTTTATTCTTCATTTCCGCACTTTACTGCTTTCTAGATATCATGAGAAGTAGGAAATAAAGAGCGTGCGCTCGAAGTCGCTGTTTAAAGACCTGTAGCAGGCATTCTGCACTTCATTTGGTATATGTGTTGTGCTTGTGTTTGTTTACTTTCTTGTTGATCGATGAGTCACTCAATTTAGAAAATTGAGATCACGACTTCGATCTCAGTGCATGCTCTCTATAGGATTTCATTGCTTTCCTTTATTTCTTGTTGATCGATGAGTCACTCAATTTAGAAATTGAGATCACGACTTCGCTCTCATTGCATGTTCCCTATAGGATAGTTTTGTTAGACTTTCTTAGGTAATGGTAGTCTAGATAGGATCTCTCTAGATGCGCTCTCTTGAGTTTATTGGCTTACCTGTTTGATTTCATCTTTGTGTGCATGTTTTGAAATAACATACCCTCAACATGTTCCTTTAGGAGCTCTCGATTCAACTATAGATGATGATTCGAGATATACATAGTTTTAGGTGATAGACCCTTGCTATGCTCCTTTAGGACTTCTTGATTCATCTATAGATGATGAGTTGAGATAGACATTAGGATTGTTATCCAAGCATGTTAACGTAGGGTAGATATTTCCCTTCAAAACTCAACCTTAGGATTAATCATTGTATGATAACATTAGGGATAGATCTAGGTTAGTCTCCCTTAGGTGTTTCCTTTCTTTTGCATCCATGCATTAAGACTAAAACTTTTTTGAAAAAAAGCATAAAACATCTAACAACTTCCAAATCCTTCTTTAAGGTAAAAGATATCAATCAATGCAAACTCTTTTGCGCCTTCGGTCTTTTCTTTCAAACTCTTTTCAGAAAGAACATGTTAATTTACTTCTGTGCTGACGCATAAATCTCCAAAGGTCGAGTTGCGTCAGAAGGCGAAATTAATGCTGTTCATTAAAAAAATACAAACAAACAAAAACATGTCAGTCGAACTACGGCTGCTCTGATTCCGTAAAAGGGATACGTAGGCATTGGGGTAGGGCCCGAGCGAGCACAACTTTTCATTTTCCCTACGTTCTTTTCTCTTTTATTTTGCATGCATTTCCTGTACAGTTTAGGCATAGATTAAACACACCCATAAGATAGACAACAAGAGTGGATACCGTAGAGTACTACAGTCGTGTGGGGTGCTAATACCTTCCCCTCGCGTAACAGACTCCCTTACCCTTGCCTCTTGGTCGTTCGACCTTGATTTCACCCTTATCAGGTTTACTCGATGTTTACCTTTCCCCTCTTGTGGGATAAAAACGTTCGATGGCGAATTCATTGATTTCATTATCAATTGATTGGTCAGCCGGTTGTTTCATGATCAAAAGGGCATAGAAGCATTAATCTCACTACTTCTCCAGTAAGGATTTAGACAAGATCCCATGCAGGATTATTACAAAACACTGATGGCCAAAACAGAAGCTGATGGCCAAAACAGAAGAACCACCAATGCATGGCGAGGCAGAAATCCTGAGAAGGTTAAGGGCGTGAGTTCAACAACCACCCCTATTGGTTTTGGTTTTCTTCCTATATTTATCTTTTTACTTATTTTCATTCTTTCTGTTTAAAACTTTTTTTTTCCATAAAACTTAACATTTTTCAAAAACCTTTGATTTTTCCTCCTAAACTCGAATAATTAATTTTAGGTCTTTTTTAAATTTAATTTTAGGTTTTAAATTAATTTTTGGTTCAACAACCACCCATGACATTTGCGTTATCTTTGTTTTCTAACCCTATTTTTCATTGATGTTTCTTCCCCTATCTATTTTTTGGCAAACTTAATTCTTTCTTATTAATCATTACACATAAATCTTTTTTTCAAAACTAACTTTTTTTAATTAAAATTAGTTAGGTTTTAGGTTTTTTTTCTTTCAAAATTAACCTTTTTTATTAATTAAAACTAATTAGGATTTAGATATTTTAATTAACTTTTTTTCAAAATTAACATTTTTTTATTAAACAATTAGGTTTTAGTTTTTTCTTTGTAATTAACCCTTTAATTAACCTTTTTTTTAACAAATTAGAATTAGGTTTTTTAATTAACTTAAAATTATTTTCTACAAAAAACACCAAAAACATTAACTTAGAATTTTAGGTTTTAATTTTTCCTTATTTTCTTTTTATTTATTCTTTAACATTTTAATTTCTAGAAAAATTGTATAGGCCGCATTATCAATGTAATAGCGTAGATTTATCTTTTTTCGCTTTTTTTTCTTTCTAATTATGTAATTGCTTCCGGGATGTAATAGTTTTAGGATATATTTTCCGCACTCTTCATTATTATGTAATTGCCCCAAAGCTCTGTAATAACTTAGGTTTACATTTCCGCCTTTTTATTTTCAGTCCAAAATAATTATGTATCTGCAAAAGCCTTGTAATAGCTAGGACTTTAAACTTTCCGCATTTTATTTTCGCAAACTATAAACTGCTTAGATGAATGTTAATAGGATTGTATGGAAAGACAAACTGAAAATTAAAACAGTAGATCACCTTAATTGTGAAATGATTAAATAACTGAAATCAAACACATGCACATGCTCACTCTTAGGGTATGCCTCACTTGGTTGCCTCGGAAAACAATGGTCATGTCCCTCCAACATAGGGATACCCTTAGCAAAGACCCTCAGTCAAAATCATAATAAAGATCATGGTCCCTCGATGTCCCTCGAAGTTGCCTACGGTATATGATCTTGTCCCTTGATGTTGCCTACGGATATATGATGACAGTCCCTTCGAAATGCTAAGGTATCCTTACAGGTTGCCTTTAATGACCATTACATCCCTTTCGAATTGACCCTTATAAATTCCAACGATGGTGCTACCTATTTCTCAATAGTAGGATAGTGTTGTCTAAAGGAAACAAGAATAGTAACGATCTTTTTTCGAGTAGGTAGATACTAGTAGGTACTTGCTCAAATCAAAACTTTTCACACTTACACTTTTCAAAATAATTTTCAAAACAAACTTCGTCACACCTTTGAGGACTGATACAAGGGTTATCACGAAGTAAAACATTTTCAAAAACAAAGCACACATACAAGCAATTTTAAAAAGATGAGCAAGTACCTAAGAGCCCATGGAAAACCATGGATAGAAAGGGTGCTAACACCTTCCCTTTCTATAATCTACCCCCCGTACTCAGAATATCTCGAAAAAGGATTTCTTCTGTACTTTTTTCCTTTCCGGTTGGATAAAATAAAAGTCGGTGGCGACTCTTGCTTACCGCGACATTTTGCGAACACAAAATGCAAAACACAAACCAGTATTAAACAGTCGGTTCTGCCACCGTATCACAGAACTGGCGACTCTGCTGGGGAAATAATAAGTGGGGTATACCTTAGGATCTAGGTCATTTAAAATTGCTTCTCTTGATTGCTTTGTTTGCTTTATTTTTGAGGGTTTTATTTGGGATTACTATAGATCCTACACCCGGATCTGGGGAATACCTTTTAGGTAAGTAGCAATAGACTGTGAGGGAACTGTATGGTGTAGACCGATACGGTTGAAGCAGTAGCTACGTTGATGTGGCACTTTGGTTGGTACCAGTATCCCTTGTGGAGAAACGAGGAGAATACAGGGCCGCTGCGTGGTGTCGTTAAGCATCAACTGACCTTAAAACCTTTAATCACCCAACTTGGCCATTAGAAAGTAGCGGTATAGCCGACCTCGGTGTAGAGCTGAGAACTGGTTGATACTCGATGCTACAATCATTGAGACCATACTCTCGAAATAATTTTGGCTGCAAGAAAATATTGCGTGAGCTGAAACCATGACCGATGGAGGATGGTCAGTGATATTGAGATCATCTAGAACCCGGTTAATTTTCT